GAGAATTTAGAAAAGTCAGATATTAACAAGAAGAAATTTGATTCAGTGGCCAGTATAGAAACCTCTGTGATGACTTGCATTACTTAAGTGTTAAAAAACACTGGTTATAACCTGTGTATAGTTGTGAAATTCTGCATTAAAAAAAAATTGATGAGCAACAGGGCCAGCTAAAGAAGCTTGGTTTCCTACAGATATATGTGTCCTAAGCTTCTACACACACACGAACACACACACCAGCTCCTACTTCATATGCTTCTGAGCTTCACCCTTCCTCTGCTTTTTCTCAACTTTCTTTCTGCTGCTTTTTAAACTCTCTTCTCAATGCAATCAATCCCCTTCCCATAAACAGCAGCTGGACAAGGAGCACCACATGTCACAGCGGGCTCCAAGCTATCTCTGTGCTCACGCTGCAGCTTCTGCTTCATTCATGTGGATCCCTCTCCTCAGCAGCTCACTCTCACAGAAATGTATAGAAGCTAATAATCTTTGGGAAATCCTTTGTTAAAATTTGGTTGCAATTGGCCAGTGATCAGAAATTGTTAGGAGGAATGGACAATGCAATCACATCAGCGTTGTTTCAGAAGGAAACCAAGGACTAGAAACATCACTGATTTTCTTTAACATCAGCAGTCTTTCTGGTAATTCAGAGATGGGATCTTGAATACCTTTGGATCTCTGGGATAACAAAACAAATCTCAGGGTAAGCAAGCTCTTTCATACTCAACTATATTAAGCTAGAGAACTAAAGGAGTTTTCCCTTTCTAATATGTGAACTTGCCCTGTATTAATATGGGAGACTTATATTTGCTGGAATTCCAGCCCACAAAATTAGTAATACATCACGATTAGAGTACCTAGAGTTTTCTTAGAAAACTTTCCTACACGAGATGCTGAATCCAAAACAAGGTTTCTCTGTTTGGAATGATCTAATCACTGGACCACTTGTAGCAGTTACCTGCTTAGAAGCCATCAGTTATGACTAGATTACATTAAATATGTAGACACAGAGACACAGAGTAACATTTATACTTTGTTTCTGGCAGAGGCTTATTTCCAGAGTTAAAGGAAATTGTAAATGAGGCAGGCTGTAAGAGAATGAAAACAACACAAGGAAAGAAAAAGACAAATATCTAAAATGGAGAAAGAGTTTCACAACAAGTCTAATGGTTGGACTTGGTGATCTTAAAGGTCTTTTCCAACCTAAACAACTCTATGATTCTATACAAATTAAGAGAGATAACCAGTTTGGTCTAAATCCTCATCTTGGTTAAACATTTATGTTAATACGGCAATGAAGAAAAATGAGAGATGATAATGGAAAATAGGATAAACAGCAACTTATACAAATTAGATGCTTTTGCCACTGTAAGAAATTCACATGGAGAGGTAAATAGTTGATGGATATCCTGAAATAGAAGAGAAAGACTGAATTGCAAACCATCTGCTCTGTTTTGCAACTACCTGAATACTAACAGGAATGCTTCCATGTACGAGATAAAAACATATAACTGGTCTTTTGCAATATGTTGTAGATACGGTTAATGATTCTTCTTCACTCTGTTTAATTGCCTTGAATACACTTTGAAAGGGAATGGGGATAAGATTAATCTGGAAGAATTTGACATTGAAATATTCCCCCTACAGCACAGCCACTGCCCAGTACTATACCTTCATGCCGTTATGACCCATTGTCAGATGCACAGAATATTATTGACACTTTTCAACCAAAATACCAAAGGTTCAAACGGATTCCACACCACAGACTGGAGATCAAAGCCACAGGTGCAGTGTTCAACCCATGCTCAGACTGTCAGTCAACAAAATAAGGACTACTGGCACACAGAGATTACTTACAGGGAAGCTTTTCATTTGTTGGATTTGCTAAAGAATGGGTATCTGCATCTGTCCTACTGACAATGTGTGCTCAGAAAACAGTTTGCAGGTTGTCACCGAGCATAGCTCAGTGAAAGCCCTTAAAGATGACATAAGTGTTTGCAGGCTAAAACAACTTGCTCTTTCCACAGATATACAAAATGCTCCATTAAAAAAATAATTCATTTTGCTACAGTAAGAGATAATTAAATCAGCCAGCAATTGAAGGTAGCCAATTGAGAACAGAATCTCCCGTTCCATTGGTGATCATAAGTAAATCAAAATTTGTCAAGATGGGGGAGGAAAAGTACCCTCTGCTTAGATATAGTACAGAAATAAGGCAAGTCACCTTCAGACTGAGACTCTTCTCAAACTCTGATAATCTTCCCTATTTCACATTGTTGCAGGCCATCAGCGAACTGAGTTAACGAGTGAAGTAGAAGTCAAAAAGACAGTCATTATCAACAGTGTACAGTAAGGAGAGTAGAGACTGAAGCTGTCTTGCAAAAGTTTATTTCCTTTTTTTTTTTTTTCTCCTCTTATCACTACTATAACATTGAGTAGCAAATGCAATGTGATCATTTCCAGCACATTTGTACTCTTTGCCTTTTACTTTGTTAAATGTTTTTGGAGACTTTTTACTGGAGAGAATGGGGAAAAGGCAGAAAAGAACAATTCCCCCAAACAGAGGAAAAGCAGTCACACAGAAGCTTGGAATTCAGGGCTAAAAGGCTTTCAGAAAAGTTTTGCAGGCAGTCAACCTCATACCATATTTGCTAACGAAAGTCGTTTTTCAGTTGTTATATTCTGTTATCTTTCTTTTCTTTCCTATTCCTCCCAGTTCTTTCAGTATCATCCTGCATTTCTCTTGTGTGGAAGACAGTCATCACTTTGCTCAACCACATGACACCTGTGCAAATCAAATCAAATATTCCTGCTAGGGTTAAAAGCTCTGTTTTCGTGAGTGCCTGCACAGGGAAAAAACGATGGAGTCAGACATCCAAATGCATATCCTCTATTTAATAATACAATGTCAGGTTAGTTTTTGTCTATATGCTATTTTCCCTTTTCTTGATTGCAACATAAAATGACTTCATCATGGTCACAAATTCATGTAACTATTTACCCGAGTTTGCAGTGATTCCCTGAGGTGAAGTTTCAAGTTTTGAGGGAGGGCAGTCTTGTATTTTATCAGGCTGAATATTATTGCTCCACTTCTGAGAACTACAGATTTCTATCTATTCCTTCTATTCAAGTTATGCTTTTAATCAAAGATGTTCATGACAGTGGATGCAGAGGAGTGGCAGGATTTGTAGTCCGTTTCCCCACTATCTTATACATGCTATGTCTGCTGATTTGCAGACACACATATTGCTGTCACTGTATGACATAATGCTTTCACAAACTGTATTTAGACTGTTTCTGTTCCTCCTATACCATCCACTACAACCTCACCACACTTCCCAGCCATGCTGTCATGTGTTCTTGCATTATTCAGCCAATCAATACATAAAAACCTGACATGAAGAGGAGTTATGCCATGTGAGAGTTTACCTAGTACCTGCAGGATACTAAGCCCAAGCAGAAGAGAATCCCTTGATGTACTGATATCATCAATAATGTTTAAGACTTAGTCACAGCTGTAATTGTTAAATACAAAGAAATAGATACTGTCTGGTAGCAATGCTTCATATCGTTATATAAGTTAACACATATATTGACAAATTCAGGCATCTAAAAGCATATAGAAGCTTTTTAATTGCCCTTCCTTATTGACTGAGCAACTGCATTAACAAAATTTTCAGATCTTAGCAGGCAGAACTAGAGTGCAAATGAAAAGGATTTAGCACACTGAAATCCAGCTCCTTAAAACATCCTACATCATCTGGAAGGTCCATGTGACAACTTCCAAAAATTCAGAGCCCCAGCCACATACTTCATTCTAGGCCATGGACTAGGCAAGTTTTAAGAGAGAGTGTTAAACGACAGTTTCAAGCTTTCTGTTGCTTTCTCTGTTATCCCCAGAGATACAATATTATTTTGTTTCCATAGTAGAACTGATGTTTTTCACATCAGAAAAAATCCTGAAGCATAAGAAAAAAAGACCTGATATGACAAGCATTGCAAACACAGTTAACAAGCTACTTTAATTATCCTCCTAAGATTTTCCCATTTGTACTCTGATCATCATCTTCTTCACAAACTTAATTATGCCTCATTTGTTCATTCTGCACTAATCTCAGTGAGTATTCCAGGTGGAAAAGAGGAGTCTGTTTGTAACTGAAACCTCAGGTAACAGTTATATATTATATTATTTTGCTATAGAATGTTTTGTTTATTTTAATAAAAACGATACAGATTTATCTTTGGGCAATATGAAAATTGAGTAGGAAGCCAGGGCATTTCCACAGCTGAAAAGCAAAACTGGCTGACTACCTTGCATGAACGGCCATCAATCCAAAGATCATCACTGGACAGATGATTGAAGAAATGAAGAAAATGATGCTGTTATCATTTGCATTTTAAAGATTAGTATTAATAAATTCTGATTTCTCAGCAGAGGGAACCTTACGACAAACTTGACCTTTGAGAGAAAGTCAGAAAGAAGAACAGCTGGGAATAAACATGCTTCGTGAGTCAAATACTGAGATACGTACCCAGTTACTACTTACAATTTATGCACTTCCAACAGTTTTAAAGTCAATAGGAATTATTGCATTATGACTGAGTAGAGACAGAGTAAAGACCCCAGCGTACCATAATTTACTGACAAGTTGTTTCCTCTAACTTTGGATAAGTCCTAGATTTGCTCGCCTACCATGACTGAACTTCATTTCGTTTAGGTTGCTTTGAGATACATTAAATTAATTTTATGTAATTAATCTACTAAGACACATGACTGCGGCCCCGTACTCGCAAGCATTTTGAGCACAATGCCAAGCCTTAAAATCTGGTAGTATATAGAAGTAGCTGTTCTTCTTTACACATAATTTCACTGACCTTCAGAACTGAGATATAGTAATTACACAAAATGTTAAGCTTGAAAAGCATCAAATAATAAGTTTCTAAATTTAAAAAAAAGATAGAGATACAATAAAGTCATTATTTGAATATATTCCATCCCTTACCTGAACCAAATTCCATCCCTTTAGAGATTCAGCAATAATAGAAGTAACCGTTGCACATACGCCACCAAAAACCATCAGATGATTAGGTCCATATTTTATTGCATCATAGAAGGCTTTGAGTCCTTTTGCATTGTCACACTGGGGAAAAAAAAAAAAAAAAGAGGCAATATTCAATGTCACAAATAACATAATTAGCTAAGAAATAAACTACTGGGCAGGAAAAATAATCAGGGGTTACATTGATGTAAAAATTGTACAATGTGTAATGTCTTAAGATCCAAACATGAAAAATTGGAGCACTCTGTTCTGGACCCCTAATGTGCTGTAGTAAAAGAACAGGAAAACCCCTCCTTACATTGTTCAAAATGCCTTATGTCTTCCTTCCAAGCCAAAGCTGCAACATCTGAATTTTGATACCACCATTTGACAAAGAATAAAAAAGCCCTAATAAAAAACAGTTGACTGAAACCTTTTCTACATTCAGAGCTACCATTTCCCCAGGCAAAATTTAGAATGTAACACCAGATATCAGCAAGACTTCCATAGCTGGAGGAAAGTTTGACACTGCTCATGATCTCTGTAAAGAAAGTTCTCTCTTTAATGAAGTGTCCTAAGTATCCTCTCCTTAAGGGCCAACCTCAGTATTCTGTGCACAAATATATAGGAGAGAGCCTATTATTTAGAAGAACACCATAAAGTTTAAAAAAAAAAAAATTCTTTTAAAGTGTTAAGAATTAATTGGGCTGCTCTCATAGCGCACCCTGCTTTGAGCAGAAGATTGGACTAAATCGCCTTCTGAGATCCCTTCCAACCTGACTTATTCTGGGCTTCTCTGATAACTAGTTTGATTATTATTTCAGGTGTAAAGAATTTTACCATAAACCAAGACAAGGACCAAAAACTAAGAAACAAAGAGCAACGCTAGTTGGTATTGCAAAAGGTATGAATATCAATTCTTGAATGGAGTAGTATCAATCATTCATAGTAACTTATGCATTCATGGCTTAATTCCTAAGCTTGCAGCAGAGTATTATTAAAACATATACCTGAAGTTAAGAATTTGATTCCAAACTGTACTGGAAGTCAGGAGTGCCAACAGGCTATAATGGTAGCCACTGCTCCACTAGCAGCCACTTCTTTATCTCTCTTTTTGAAACAAAATTTTCTGTCCTCTTATGCCTCTCCTACAAGTCTTCCTCAAATATAGTCTTTAGAAGAACTATCATACACCAGCCTCCAATATTTCATTATGACAATCCAATAAAACAGTTCATTTACTATCAGCATCCAAGTAGTAATTGTGTTGCATTCTGTTGAGATAATAAAGATTTTGACTAAGAAGTTTGCAAGCTTATATTAATCTTCTTACTGAATTAATATGCTAAAAGAAAAATTATTCTATTTGAATTCTATCTTCAAGAATAGAATGATTGCTCCCACTTATTCAAATGGATACAGATTTTTACTGCATAGACTTTTTTAAATTGCATAATATAGCAAAATATTTTCCTTCTTATTACAGGGAAAAAAAAAAAAACAAACCCAAAAAACAGTATGGCAGACACTCCCTTGTCAGTTTGATGGATTTGTGGCAGGCTCATATTGTGGAGGAATTAAGATTGTGATCACTGGAACAAGCAGCGCTCTTCCAGTCTTACTCCTCCACCCCCTACTTAAAGAACAGTTTATTCCAAGCACAATTAGAAGGCTCAGCTACTTCTTTACTTTTATAAGCAGCCAAGGACACTAGAGCTTTCAGTATCTGAACTTAACTGACATTTAGCCAAGTCTTTGCCCTCATCCACTTCACCATTTCAAGCGGCAGCAACAGAGATTTTTGAACTGGTTTTCATACCAACTTAAAACCAGATAATTAATTTTTTTGCACTAGGTCACGTGTTTTCAATGTATCACTGAATAACAGTTTAAGAATACAAGTCATGTATGAAATAAGGAGGTTGTTGATAGTAAAATAACACTTAGAAGCTGTAGCCCATGAAGTGCTACGTCCATAAAAAGTTATGGAGAAATAAAATTCTGTATGCTAAATGATAAAGACCTGTGGCCTGTTATCTAAAGTAAAATTCATACTAAAATCCACCCTTACCTCAAAAAATACTGATGTATCTTTTAACTATTTTTTGCCTATGAATTGTTTCTCACTGCATTAAAGTAACCTTATGCATTTAAGGTTTCCAGTAGGTCAATTTGCTAGGAGGTCCAGAATTGCTATTCTGATAAGGCTTTTTCTTTCTTATTTATTTGATCTTTTCAGGTTTATAAAAAGATACTTGCATGTAAACAACACTTTTTCAATCACACAGCAACCTCTTGGGAAAGTATGCTGAAAGCTTTATTCGTCTCTCCCAAAGAGAAAGGTTCACACTGCTGAGATATATTATTGATCAGTCCAAAGTATGTACAATAACTTGTCGGCTTCTCTTCAGTATGATTCAGTTAAAAGCCTACCATGTTTTCATCTTCATACTTTCTTCCTAACTAGTCTCATCTCTCTCTCTTTTAGGCCAACCCAAATTATTAGAGGACTCAAGTCTGCTCCTTGAGCAAAACTGCCAAAATAGTCCAAAGCGTGTCTCAGAGATAAAGAACTTAATACTGTGGCTGGCCATGACTGGACAGAAATGAAAGGAAAAATGAGAAAGATGGGAGAAAGCAGACTTTCACATTTGTTTAACGTCACATTTCACAGCATACACTGCGTATAACATTCTTCCCTGCAAGCAACAGAACAGTCTGTCACAAGCATTAAAAAAAAATAAACTTTCAGATAAAAATAATAGCCCTACCAAGCCAGACAGACAAGCAGTTACAAAAGGTTTCTTCCTGCTGCTAGTCTGAGGAATGTATCCTTAGCAAGTTCCTGAAGCCCTTGTAACAAATTTACTTTTTCAGAGATCCCAGAAGGCCACCATTGCTGCTCATGATCTTCTATTGGCAAACCCTACATACATAACCCTAAAAGCGGGCAACTTTGTTGAAAGACAACAAGCACAGACACCACTGAAATTACGACCATATAATAAACAAATGAGTTCTTGAATTGCTGTCACCAAGTAACTACAACTAAGTCCAGGAGCAACGCTATGCAGCAATCTAATTACAGTATAACAAAAGGACTGCCCAAGAACCAAAATCCACTTTAAAAAGCAGAGCCTAGAAAGTCCTGGCCGCACGTGGATGACAAGAAGCTGACTGGCTCATTAATTGGAGCATGACTAACATCAGTGAAGGGGAAAGAATCCCTCACAAAAAGTCACAAACTTAAATGATGAAAAATATCACCCCAAGGAGCCAACGCTGCTTTTGCTAGATAGTTTTGCTCTTTCACCTAAATTGTCATCAACATCTCTATTTCACTGAGCCGAACTGCAGCCAGCTTACTTTCAACTCAGATATGAAAACAGGGAGCCATGCTGTGCTGCTGATCTTGACTGCACATTGAAACACTGAGGATGGTTGCAACACCTTTCATTGGAGAAATGTAGTTTTACCATAACTGTCATTTCAAATACATGCGATGTGGTACATGCTACAACTTTCTTCAGAGGAAGGGGCTAAGAACTACTCACCCCAAACACATTAATTGCTGTGCTTAGTCTCTGTCAAAAGCCAGCAATAAGCCACGTATAAATAGCAAACATACATATTAATGAAATAATTACGTTAAATGTATCTCCTAACACACTGACTTCATACAGATTATACGGACAATTCACAAGGAGAAATATCAGTAAATCACCAAGCAAAGGTCTGTGAAGAGTCCTACCTCTCACTGCAACAACAACTGATTAATATCACAGGTGGCACCTAACAAAGGCATAGTTTCCGTTTCCAAGGAAACAGAACCACTTATTTTAATTAAGAAAAATAGCCAGATGAACTGCTGCGTAGGAGAGGGGTTGAATGAATTTGGGGACTGAAGTGTTAACCTTCCTGAACCCTCTTCAAAGGAGATGCTGGCAAATAAATACTATCATTCTCCACCAAGAAAGGAACCTGACTGAAAATGGAGAAACTACTGCCTGAAGCATAAGGGATGCATAAGGACAAGAAACTTTTCCAGAGAGAACAGCGCAGCATCCAAATACACAAGCAAGACCTTCTCCAAAGGCCCTCTGCAACTGAGAGAAAGGATGTCCCATGTGAGGGGTACACATCACTGAAGTCAGGAGAAGGGGCAGAACTGACTCCTGAGCGTTGCTGCCTGCCAGGAAGGCTGTTTAGCAGACAGTGAGAGAGACACTGGGATGTGTACTCAAACCCTCAGGCCGCAAGTGTGACACAGTGCAAATCCTTAGTGCACAGAATGGAAATCCGTATGGGTCTAATATGTAAAGCTTTGCTGACTCCTACAACATTGACACGTTTGAGTAATTACAGGACCAGAAGAAGAGCAGATACTTGTAATTTAACTGATCTCATTAGATTTGCATAGCAATGGACCTGATGCACTCGTCAGATGCATGATTATATTTAGATTTCTAGCTGTTGGATAGCTATGCCCAGCTGTTTCTCAGTTAGCTACATTCTGGCACAACTTTACTTGTCTGAGTAAAAGTAAACCTGAGAAACAATTTTGGTATCTATTTAGCTACTGTCTACTGAGGTTAGAGATCCTTTGTGATAAGAAGGAATAACCGATAGCTGTCATCTGCATAATGAAATATCAAACTTTTTCAAGTGACATGAGAGCTTTCAGCAGCACTCTGCACTAAATATCATCAGAAAGAGAAGCAAGTGCTCATATATATATAAGACGACTTCCTCGAAGAAAGAGAACAGTGGTAAAATCTTATTCCTATCTTCTGCAAAATCTTGCTCGAGAACTAACTCCACATTAGACTATCAGCATGAAAGGAGCTAAGAGATGAGGAATACCAAAATGATTTTTGTCTGATTTTCATTCATTTCTTTAAAGTCATCAATACAGACAATTCAGTGAAGAACATATGGACAATTGTTCTGAGCTACAACAAAGGTCAATCAGGTTAACATCCAGTGCCTGGGTTTATGGGCAGGGCATGCGTCTCCTGAGGTATCCTCTGTTTTCAGGCATCTGCAGCTTAGGTACTTTCAGAGCCAGCAATTCTATTTTTGCATTTAATCACTGTAGCTGG